AAGCTTTACATGGCCAGAACAAGAACCGTCCATAACAACTCACACCACCACATTCTGGATGCAAAGAGGAATATGGATCTGGAGCTTAATGTAGGTGCATTTGTATACTTTGGTAGAACAAATATGGGAAATCTTTATTAAAGATGGGAAAATGGATGAAGAAAGTGTGAATGAGTTGAGAGGAAGAATTAAAATGAGAAAGTCACACTGGGATATAGTTGATGAGATTCTCCAAAGGAGATAGGTAAGAAGTTCAAAGAACAAAATGCAACGGATGATGGCAAAGAGTGTACGGACATAGTGAAAGCAAGAATAGTTTGCAAGTATAGAAAAGTATGGAAAGATATAGTAAATAGCTTTGGTGTAAATTAGAGCTAGCCATACTTCGTTTTCTTTTTCTTATCTCTGGTCTTTAAATTTTTTGGCATTCTATCTTATTCTTTTTATCTGCTTTGCATAAAGTTGTTCATCCTGAAAGAAAATAGCATGATAGGTACATAATCTGTATGCACATTATAGCAGCTACTATTATTATATTTATATTTATTTATTTATTATTAAATATTATTAAAATTGTATGCCGCCCATCTCCCCCCAACGGGTGACTCTGGGCGGCTATATCAGCTATTGCAATATGCAGCATCTTATTTATTTATTTATCAATCAAATTTATACACTGCCTGATTCCCAATGACTTTGGGCAACTAAAACAAGAGAAATGCAAAAATAAAAAGCAAAACATTTAAGATGTGAAGAATGATAAGCTGGACAGGAATGAAGCAAAGTGTCTTCAGTCTCTCTCACCAAAGAGCCAGGTCTTCAAAGCCCTTCTGAACAACAGCAGAGTGGGGGCCATCTGGATCTCAGGGACAACCTCATTCCAGAGGGCAGATGCTACTACAGAGAAGGCGCATTTCCAGGGTCCAAATACATGACATTGTTTAATCAAAAGGACTTGGAGTACACCAACCCTGCAAGATCAAATCAGCCAGGCAGATACTATGGGAGACAGGAAGTCCTTCAAATAACCAGGCCCTATGCCACATAGGACTTTATAGGTGACAACCAGCACCTTGAATTGCACCCAGAAGCAAACTGGCAACTCGAGAAGCAGAGGTGTTATGTGGGCATACCAAGGCATGCCCATCACTGCCCACACCACTGCATTTTCCTGGCCACACTGAGCAAGAGCTGTGAGTCCAGGAAAAAGCCCAAGGTGCACATCATCCTTGAATGGGGAAGTATGACCCCATCCAAGGTAAAAGAAGGAGCACCCCAGATCTGGATGGCCCAAACACTTACAGCCACTTGGTCTTAGTAGAAGACAGTTCCTTAGTTGAAGACAGTTCCTCCCCATTGAAGCCCGCACAGTCTCCAGGTGTTGGGATACAATCTCTACATGCTCATTTGGCTGGCCCAGGGTCAAAATATATAATTGGGTATCATAGGTGTGCTGATGATACTGAACCCCAAACTGGTAGATGACCTCACCCAGTGGTTTCATATAGATGTTGAAAAGGAGGGAAGAGGGCATCCTACAGAGGATGGGCCTAGGGAGCGGTCTCTCTCCCCCAACCAATACTGACTGGAACTGACCCCAGAGAAATGAACAGAACCACCATAAAATGGTGCCCCCAATCCCCAGCCCATGGAACCGGCTCAGAAGGATACTATGGTTAATAGTACTGAAAGCTGCTGAGAGATCAAGGAACACAAGGATGGAGGCACCACCTACGTTCTGACAGGTCATCAACAAACTCAACCATAGCTGCCTCAGTACTAAATCCTGGTCTGAAACCAGACTGAATGGATCTAGATCATGTGGGCAATGGCTTATGCTAACAGGATTCTGCACCAACTTTTTCTTTCAAATCACAGAATCTGAACTGTAGAATACATTATATGTTAATACTGGATGAAAGCTGAAATGTTCAGGAGTTTGTTAGGAGAAAGGGACACCTTTTAAAGAAATAGATGTATTTACACTGCATTTTACTGAGCAGAATTCTGCTTTTTTAAAGAAATCATATAAGTGCGGTCCACAGCAATTGAGTTCAGTGGGATTTTACTTAAATAAGAATGCATCAGACTCTTTGGAGAGTCTACCACATCTACTGTCTTTTAAAAATAAAAACAAAAGACAAAAGATTACATGCAAAATAACTTTTCCAGTTATATTCTTGCCTGTGCTGACTTGCAAAGAATCCCAATTTCTAATAGGTTTCATCAAAGTTCAGCCCTGAGGAATAATCATGTCTTTTCTCCTTTTGATGCAACACTGAACTATCAGTGATATTCTTCACAAATTTCCTGTAAATGCACAATTTATATGATATTTTGCTTCTGAAATGAAGGCATTCGAGTCCACTTGCATACATAAAAATGTGATCTAATGCAAAAAGATCCATTAGTGCATTACCACCACCACCACCACCAATTGATAGAAACACAGACTGAAAACAACCAAAATAGTAGTCTTGATCTCAGGACCATAAGACACAGAATGTTGATTCTACATACGATTTTTTAATACACTGTATATGTTAGCAAGTTAAGGCAAAGCCTGAAAGAGCTCACAATTTCCAAAGCAATATTATTTTATTATTATTTATTGGATTTCTCCCCCGCCCATCTCCCCCACAATAGGGGACTCTGGGCAACTTACAGAAAACATTAAAACTATAAATATATGTAAAACACATCATACATCCCAAATTTAAAACAATACTAAAAATATAATATAAATATAAAAATATAATATACATATAAAAATATAAATGGGTAAATATATATATACCTGGTGTGATTTCTGCAAATGTTGAGATTACTTCTCCCACAGTTCTGATAATTTGTCACTTTCTTTAGGAATCTGTGATAGAAGTATCTTGGGAGGAAAATCTCTTCAATGTGACTACATTCCTTTCCTCGTGTTCATGGCCATTTGCTTTATGGGTCTGTAGGTATTATACATAAAAATAATCCAATTTCTAAAATGCACATGGTTTTGCAGCTAGATGCTTGATCCTGCTGAATGACTCAATGCAAAGACATACAGCATCAGCAAAAACAATGCAAACATACCTCCTTTTAACGCCAGGGAAAATTTTTAAAGATAAATGTGTTCCTGTTAGAGCTCTTCAAACAGCAGAAGACTGGCATTTCTCAGTTCACAGAATGCTACACTGCCAGACAGAAATCTGGACGGCTCACTTTCTGTGCAAAGTTGGCATTTGGCTGGGGTTGGGTGGGTGCTGGCAAGTTAACAACACTAACAATTATGGACAAGCAAAAATAGCCTTGAAGAGACATGTTCAGATGTTATAAAAATATTTCAGTATCCTGTGATAAAAATTAAAAATTATCCTTTATTAAGAATAAAAGGGAAGTATATGAGAAAAATATATCCAAATATATATGAGCAAGGCAATATATTAAGAAACCTCATAGCAATATCTTTCCGAAGAACGTAAATAGACCTATCGGATTGGATTACATAAGAACAAAAAGCTGCCTTTTATTGCTCTAGGTGAACATATTGTGCTGAGCCATGCCTTCTTTTACTACGGTTTATTGAATGCATCCAAATTTAGTGAGACTTTCAAACATTTCAAATGTATTGAAGGAATACAAACAACTTGCTAAGCCCAAACCAAACAAAGCATTATGTGTGAACCAAGAGATTATCTTGTCAGGAGCATTTCCACTTAGGGATGCCGGGAATTACATTTGGAACTATGCTATTGCCCTCTATTTCATCAACTGATTTACAAGAGCAGTTCCTTAAAGATAGTTTGAAAAATACCAGCAAGTCATGAAGGCAACAATTGTGGTTTCCCTGAGTTGCAGTAACTGGAGTAAGAAGTTTGGATGGGAGAATCCCAGGATTTACATACTTCTTCTTGGGATACATTGGGCCAACTGGATTTCTTACATCATCTGAAATCTAAAGCCATCTAGCTGAAGCTAAGCCACCCTGAATTTTGCCAGTGCCTGGAAGGGACTCTGTCCCAGAATTCATACATACAGCATCTTGATTTTTTCTGAAGAAAGGTCGTACATATATGCAGTCCAAAGGTTGCCCTTTATCAGGTGTGTCAGTTGTGCCTTTTCCCAGATCAAGAGGCCCTTCAGCCAGTCAGTCATACCCTAGTCACCTCACGGCTCAACTACTGCAATGTGCTGTACATGTGGTTGTCCTTGAAGATCTCCTGGAAGCTTCAACTGGTCCAGAATGCAGTGGCGCAGGCAGTGACAGGAATGTCTTGGTATGCTTATGTGAGACCCCTGCTTAGGGAGCTGCACTAGTTGCCAGTTTCCTTCCAGGTACAATTCAAGATGCAAGTTATGATCTACACAGCCCTACCTGACATAGGACCAACTATTTCAATCTGACAGGGAGGGCATGTGTCACCCCCACTAGGTAGACCAGACCAAGAAATCAACTCCATGGGAAGGCTAAAACTACTTTTATTGAAACTGGCCATAATAACAGTATCTTGCAAGTCTAACTGTGCTGTACTTCATCCTTCTCCTTCTTATTAGTCCAGCGAAATAGAAAGGGGCATCTACCTGAGTCACTTCCAAATGTTATCTCATTGTTCTGGACTTAAAAAATGCTTCAGCTCCTTTTGCCTAGGTAACAGTTCCTGCATATCTCCATCAAGGTCTTCTTCCTTATCCTCTACACCACCGTCCAGGTTCCTCTGATTATGGACTGCCACGTATCAGGACTCTGGGAGCGTGCTTTCTCTGTCACAGCACCCGCCCTCTGCAATGAGGTTCCCCACAGATCTGGCTGGCTCCCACCCTGATGGCATTCCGGTGGGCCTTCAAGATCTGGATGTTTTCCCAGGCTCTGGGCTAGGCTGGTTAGAGCCCCTTGTTGGGTGCCTGATATGTTTGTTGTTGCCAAGATTTGCTATTTTTTAATTGTGATATGGTTGTGGGTGTTTTGTTTACATTTTGTTGTTTTTTATGCTGTGAGCATAAAATGATTGGAGTTGGGTGGTATCTAAGTT